TGCCTGACGACTGCGAGTCCTAGCTGTTTGACTTGGGGCAAGTTGCTTCACTTCTCTGAGTCTGTTTTATTTACTTCAAAAAACTTTTCCACAAGATTAAATAAAATGATCTATATGGGACACCCAGCTTCCGTGACTCACAGCAGGGGCTCTGCAGACCCCTTTCCTTTCTTTCCCCTTTGGTGTCATTTGAAGTGGGTTCCTGGAGTCCCTGGGGCAGGGGTGTGGGTCATCCTGTCCATCGATGGCTGAGCGGGTCAGCGTGGTGCAGCGTGGCCGGGCCAGGCGGTGGCTTCTGCCCACAGGGGGAGGCAGTTCAGATGCGTCTCAGCCCGCTGCCGCTGCCGCTGCCCCCACACAACACACACCGAGGGGCTTAGATGACAGAAATGGTTTTCCCACAGTTTTGGAGGCTGCAGATCTGAGCTCGGGGAGTCCGGGGTCGGTGTCTCCCGAGGCCTGTCCCGAGATGCTGTCTCCTGTCTGCGTCTCACGTCTTCCCTCTGCACCCATGTGCTGATCTGTAAGGACACTGATCACGTTGGGTTAGGGCTCACCTTCATGACCTCTTAAAGCCCCCGTCACCAAGTACAGTGACATTCTGAGGTGCTGGAGGTTAGGTGTCAACATACAAATTTGGGGGGGACTAAGTGAAAATAAGCCTGGCACAGAGAAGGCAAGTGCTGTGTGACTCCTCTCCTGTGACCACGGCCAGCACGGAAGACTTCTATGACCTCGAGAGGTTGGCAAGCGACAAGTGGATTCTGCAGGGCACACCTGCTGGGGGACCTCAGGATAATCCAGTTCTACATCATCTACCTGGAGACGGTGTCCGATGCCACAGGCTGGGGACTCTGTCTCCCTTCCTGGAGAGGCTGGTCGCCGGCCCCAGGTGGTCTCTCTGTGCTTCCGACTGACCGACTGCACATTGGGTTCCACGTCCTGTTGGATCTATTTGCTCAGTGCCCGCAGGACGCGGGAAACGTGGAGGGTCAGTGGTTCATGATGAAGGAGATGAAGAGGCCTGTGGGGGCGGGGCATGCACCCTCCAGGATCACCCCGCTATCCGGAAGCCTTGGAACCCTGTCCTTTGGGGCTCAGTGATTGGGTGGGGACCCAGGGAGACCTGTCTTGGCCTCTCCTGCAGCCTCCCTGCCTCCAGGGTGTAGGGCAGGAGCCCTCTGGAATGAGAAGGGTCCTCATGACCTCCTGTCTGACAAGGTGGGTCAGGGAACTTCTCTGTGGCCAGTTCTAAGGCAGAGAGTCGGGAGGGTTAGAGTTTCTGTGACCCACGTGGGGAAGAGGAATCTGGATTCTTTGGCGGGCCTCGGGGAAGGAGTTGATAGAAGAGCCAATTCGCAGGGACAGAGGAGGTCAGGGCTCACTGCCCTGGCGGGTGGGGGGACACGGGGAATTACCGTCTGACGGGTGTGTGGATGGGGCCGGGGTGTAGACCATTGTGAATGTATTTAATGTCTCTGAATTGGGCCCTTAAAAACGGTCAAACCGCTAACTTTTACATCATGCACATTTTGCCACAATTAAAATAAAATTAAAAAAAGGGGACCAGCAGGAGAGAGGAAAGACGATGACTTTTCCACCGTGGCTCGTGTAGGGTTGACAAAGTCTGGTGTGGAGGCCAGGCTGTCCTGTCCAGCCCATGGATTGGTGGGTGTGGTGTGAGGGCCTCTCTGGAGGCTGGGTGAGTTCAGGAGTCTGGGATTCTTATTTATTTTTTCCTACCGCTGAGCTACATCCCCAGCTTTCTATTTTTTTTTTTTAATTTTTTTTTTTTTATTTTGAGACAGGGTTTCACCACGTTGCTGGGTCTGGCCTTGAACTTGCGATCCTCCCCACTGGATGGAATCACAGGTGCCAGGCAGGAGCGTGGGATTCTAATGTGACCAAGGCTGAGAACTCAGGTCCTCTTGGGGCCCAGTTCCTACTGCTCGCAGAGCGTTGAGGTGACAGGGGCCGTGCTGGGCAGATCATCAGCCTCCTGTGCCCTCTCGTTTCTCCATCTGTGAGACAGGGATGACAGCGTCCGTGAGTCAGAGCAGAGGGCTGGGGACAGACACAGGGCATCCTGAGCAGTGTTAAGAGACTCCGTGCGTCTTGGAGCCCGACAGCTGGGCTTGCATCCCGCCCTCTGTTGGCCAACGTATTTATCACCAGACGGGGGACCGAGCTGGTCTTAGGTCCCTCCTTCCACTCTGAGTGACAGAAGAGAGTAAAATCAGAGCAGGGCAGATGCGCCCGTCTTGCTGGCTGCCCACAGCCAGCCTTCTTAGCACAGGAGCAGATTAATTCCTTTAATTCTCACAGCAACTCCGAGCCCCATAATCACCCCCGTTTTGCAGGCAGGGAGACTGAGGCTTGCTGAGGGGGGAGGACAGCATGGGTCCAAACCTGGAGTCCTGAGCTGCCAGCCCTGGAGGCAAACAGATGGCACGGCTGGCCCCAAGAGCCCCCTGCGGGCTGCCACGGAGGAGGGGCTTCTTAGCCAGGGCCTCCAAGGGTCAGCAGTTTCCACTGTGATACCAGGTGTGTGGTGGCTGCGGAGTGGCAGGACCCTGGTGCTCCCTGGCAAGGTCCAGGCTCCTGAGAGGGTGGCCAGGGGCCAGGCACTGGAGGGAAGGAGAGAGCCTTTTAAGGAAACATTTCTCTGCTTTAGGAGGAGAGAGAGAGAGACAAGCCACACTCAAGGACACCACCAAGCCAGGGCTGGCCGGCCTGGGGGCTGGGGGGCGGTGGGGGGCGGTGTCAGGCCCTCTGCTGGGGTGCCGCTCACCTCTTGCCCTTGGACCCAGGTTCTTAGAGGATGTCTTTGCCTTGGGACCAGAAAGGGGCTGGGTCAGGACACCTGGGCCAGCTCTTCCCATGGCCTTAGAGTGGGTTTAGGAACAAGACCCTCCTGCTTGTCTGAGACTGCCCCCACCTCCGGAGGCACCCTCGCCCCACCCTGCTTCCCCAGGGCCTCATCTCGGGATGGAGGCCTGGCCTCCCTCCTGTGGGGAAGGGACCAGGCCCTTTTGCTGCCCTTGGTCCTGCAGGCAGGGTCCCAGCAGCCCTGCCCAGCTCCCAGACAGCACAGCAAGGCCCCGTCCTGTGTGTGGTGCCCGCTCCCCCAGGACCTGAGAACCTTCGTGACAGAATGAGTCTGGGAAGAAGACCCTGGGGTCGGACCCATGACTCAAACCTCCCGTCCCCCATCACAGTGGGGGTTGGGGTTGTGCCTAGCAAGGACAGCAGTGTCCCCTGCGGCTGAGACCGTGTCTGGTGGGCAGGGCAGGCAGGGGGTCCTGTAGGCCATAGGTAGCCCTGGGGACTTTCTCTTCCCTCCTTGTCTCCCTCCACCCCATCCCCAGGCCTAGTTCCCTTAGGGACCTCCTCTGAAATGTCACTCACGGTTCCTGCTCGGGTGTACTGAGAGCCCTGACTTCTGGGAACAGCGTCTCCATCTCTCCTCATTCTCCTGGAAGTGGGGCCCTGATTGATAAGGCCCACTTCACATCTTGTCCTGGGAATCAGCCTGCCTCGGCTTAAATCCCAACCACTTTTCAGCTGTGTGGCGTTGGGCAGGTTGTTTAACCTTTCTGTGCCCCATTCACATCCTTCACTGGGGATATGACAGTATCTACTGAGTTATTGAAAGAATTCAATGAGTAAAGCATTTATATTAAAGCCTGTCACTGGGACATATTCAGGGAGTATTGATATTATTCTTTGTGTGTGTGTGTGTGTGTGTGTGTGGCGGGGGCATCTGGTTCTGTCCTGGAGTACTGTTGGTGAAAGAATCAAACATCAAGACTCAGCTGGGGCCCTTCTGCTGGAGAGTGAGCTGGCTGTCACGTGATTGGCCCAAGAACCCGGGACGCTCACTCTGGCTTCCTCCATCCCCACAGAGCTTGAACACAGTCACCCAGGGCGTCCTCATCTGGGCTGGTGTGTGAAGTCTGGAGAGCCTTGTGGGCTGGCAACACGGGTCACGTGGAGGGGGCCAGCCCGGTGGCCACTGCGCAGCCAGTGGCAGTGGGGACCTCACATCAGGCAGCACGGGTGGTGGCCAGGAGGGGCTGCCCTCTCTTTGGCCACTCAGGGCTCGTGTCCAGACACGCTTATGCCTGAGGGACAGCGCCCTTCTGTCCCCTGTGTGGGCCCCTTGCCTGGTGCTTGGGTCGGGAACTGGAGCCAAGGTGGAGCTCTGAGTTCCAAGAAAAATGTGTCCAGCTAGAAAGGAGGGGCACAGGCGGTCTCTGATAAATTCCCACACAAGTGTCAGGGTGCTGGCTTGGCGGCCTGGCCTGGCGAGGGGCCGGAAGGGAGAGAGCCCTGGAGTGGAGCCAGCCTGCCCCTCGCCACCCTCCGGTTCCTCCACATCTGGGGGCCCGGCTGCCACGTCCTTCTCCGGATCAGAGGGGACGGGAGGAGATGAAGTTGATGAAGATACCTGCGGCCTCTGTAAGAGCCTGCAGTCCCCTGGCCAGCGCGCTTCCCGCACTCTGGGAAACTTGGCCGGAGTCAAGGTCCTGCGGTTCTCACTTTGGGTGAGATGCTCTGGCACTGGGAGAATCCAAGGGGGTGACTCTTCCTTCTCTGGAGGTCTTCTCGGGGCTTTTCGACATTTCACCCGCCGCAGACAAATCGACGAGTGCAAAGGAAAACCAACCGTAGTCCAAATCCCATGAGCCTCTGTTGTTACGATGCTGGCGTGTTGGCCTCCAGCCTCCCGGGTCTGGTATTTTGGGCGTCATTGTAATGGTGACCTGCGTTCCATCGGGCTTGCCATCTGCGTCCCCTCCTCCTCCCCAGGTGCCACTGCCTAAGCATCTCTCTGGGTTCTGGTCGCCTTTTGAGGTGCCCTCCCCCAGGGAGGGATCAGTGTGTGCCTGTAGGCGCGGGGTGTCTCACATGGAGGTGGCGCGTGGAGTGACCTCAGGAGGCGCGGGGCCTGTGCCCATGACAGATGCTAACCTGCCGTTTCTCTGCTCCTCCCACAGGTGGCTGCCCCCTGCATTCCTCCGTCCAACCATGAGCTGGTGGTGAGTGACAGCCGTGCCTTCCCCTGCCGGCCCCTCCTGCAGCTTGTGTTGGCCCCAAGTGTGCTGCAGCCCGAGTGCCGGGCAGTGGTGGGAGGAGAGGGGTCAGCGTCCCTGGGCTGAGGCTGGACGGGGAGGAAGTGAGTCATGAGGTCTCCTCTGATGAGATGCAGGGCCTGCTATGTCCAATCTCGAGACTTCAAGTCCTTGGAAAAACCCATAAAAGGGCATCTTGTATGTCTCCGGCCTGGCCAGGAGCCTGTTGTCCCAGGGCTTCGAGGACCAGGGGGTGCCATGGCGTCCTCTTCAGTCTGCCTGTCCGGGGTCAAGTGCCCTTCACGAGAGGCAGGGGGATGGATGAAACGCTCCAGCCAGTTTCCACATCCAGGTGACCTCTGTCCCTCCCCTGAACTCCTTGGCTCGACTCCACTTTTCTGCCCTCCTGACATTTCCCCACCTCCTCCCCCGTCAGGTTTCCAGAACAGGCTGGACAGGGGCAGGCCCCGTGAGCTGCGGCGGGCTGTGCACAGGGCCTGGCTCTCGACGGGTCCCAGCTGGACCCACTGGGGTTGTGGGCAGCGCTTCCTCCCCGCCCCTCTTAGGCCTCACAGGTCCCCCTGGAGTGCAGGGGAAGGGGTCCCCACGTGTGCCTGTGTCCTGGGGGGGCACCATGGGTACACATCTGACGGGCTGCTGTGGGGTGTCTCTGGTGATGCTGATGTTGGGGTGTCCCTGGCAGCTGTAGCTATCCCGCCTACCAACGTGGCCACTTGCTCAGCCCTGACACCGGGCACACAGTCAGGCCACGTGATCTCCTTTTGCACCCACATCCACTCGCTATGTGAAGGTGGGCTGGTCCCCCCCTTTCTGTTTGGACCTTAGTTTTCCTTTCTGCCCCAGAGAACGGGGGACTGGACCCTCCCACGGCCTTCTCAGTGTGCAGACGCGTCCCCTGCCTCCCTGTTCCCTGGTGCTCCAGGGCAGTGTGGCTCTTCTCTGCCTGGCCCAGGCCCTGTTTTCCTTCCCTGCAGCTCACTAGGGTCGGACCACCCCCCCCGGGCCTCCCCCGCCTGGCCTTGTGCTCCAGATGGGAGGTGTTGGTCGCACGGAGCCTGGCCGAGGTCATCTGGCAACAGCAGGGCTGGGGGGCCGGGTGCTGCAGGGGGTGGGCCAGAGCAGCCTGGCCTGGAACTACCAGAGACCAGCCTCTCGGGGATCACAGACGGCCACCGGCCACCCGTGGGAGCCTCAGGGGGGTGGGTGGGGAGGCAGGAACACGTGTCTCTCCTCATTCCTGCTGAACCTCCATCTTGTGGCCCAGAACACAATGTCCTTGGCAGGCTGGGGAGGGTAGGGTCCACGGTTAGGACCACCAGGCGAAGCCAGCTGTGTGGCCACTGGGAGTCTGGTGAGTTTTGTTTATGGGAGGCAAGGTCAGGGGTCAGGACAAAGGGGAATAGGTTGGCATTCCCGCTGAGGCGAGGCTCCGGAGGGGAGGGAGCTGGCCTGCCCGAGGGAGGCCCGGGGAGTCCGTGTGTCTCTGGGGTGGGCTCCACCTGTGGGGGGGCGCCTCTGACCCCTGGGAGGTTGGATCGGCCACCCAGCGGTAGAGCGGTGGCGTCACCCTGCTCCTCGGCCTCCGCGCCTGGGTCAGAACCCAACTCCCCATCAGTGGTTCAGAGCCGGGGAATTCCATTTCCTCTTTCTGGATCCTGCTCCCTGCTCCCCACCGGTCCCAGGTGCTTCTCCCCCATTCCCTAAGTTCAGGTGTGTGACCCCGAACCGAAAGCTCAGCCTCTCTGATTCTCAGGTTTCCTTCTTTAGAATGGGGGTTACTATAGTACCCACTGGGTAAAGTTGTCAAAAGAATAAAATGAGCAAAGTAACCCACTTGGCCTGTCCAGCCCTACGTGACAGGTCCCTCTTCCCTCATCTTCTTTTAGCAGTGTCTCCCTCCCTCCCTTTGCAGCCACCCGGCCTTTCTGCTGATCCTTGAACCTACCAGGCCCGATTCTGCCTCAGGGCCTTGGCACTTGCTGTTCCCTGTGTTTGGAATGCTCTTCCTGCAGATACCTGCAGGGCTCTTCATCCCCCACCCCGGGTTCTCCCTCGAAAGTCAGCCTCGTCTTTCTTCCCTGCTTCGGTTGCCCCCTAGACAAATCATCTTCTGATTCACCACGTAGTACTTTACTCTTTATCTTTCTAAGGGGCTCTGCCCACTCCAGAGGTCAGTCTTTTGTTGGTTGGTTGCTGTGCCCCTGCTTTCTTGCACACAGTAGGTTCTCTACTCGTGTTTATGGGAAGGCTGGCACCCAGCCTGATGCCTGGCACAGGTTAGGTCTGCCACACCAGGAGCTGGGCACTGTGGCTCCTGGTGACCCTGCTGCCTGCCGTCAGGGGCTATGGAGTTCTGCCCGTGGGACCCACCTCGGGGCAGCTGTCCTTAGCTGACGCTCTGTTGCTGTCCCCAGAGTGGGAAAGTGGCCCAGGGGAAACCAGGGGAAAGTGGCCTCCGAGCACTCAGCACCTGTTTCCTCACGGCCAAGTGCTTTGAACAGGTTCACAAGAGGCAGGAAAGGGCGGGTTTGTATTTTTCCTTCCTTTCCCACTCTCTGCCTGCCCTCCGGTCTCAGCAGGGCTGCTCTGCGGCCTCCCTGCCCCCCCACAGGGTGCGTCTGTCCATCTGTTTGTCTGTCCTGTTTTCTCCCTGGCTCCCTGTGACCCCAGCTCTCCTTGGCCTTCTCTCTGGTCTTGTTTCAATCCGACCCCCCCAGGATTAGCGCCCCTCATTTCTGGAAGCGCAATTTCAGCCCAGCTCCGGGCCCTGCTGGCCAAACACATTTTCCAGCCCGTGCCCAGGCCACCAGGGCAGAGTGGCTTAATCTTCAACCCCTTGTTTTCGTCTTACTCAACAGATGTTGCCCAAGTGCCTGGGTAGAAGGGTCCTAGGGTCGGCCCCCTCCTGGGGACCCACGGGGGGGGGGGCAGGATGCGCCAGGGGAGGGCTTGTTTGCCATGGACACTCCTGATCCTTGGAAAGAGCTGAAACAGCTTTTCTCAAGTTCTGGAAAGTAAGAGTCGGAGGAATTTCCCCGTGGCATTAGCCAATGGAGTGGCCACCAAGGTCGACAGATGCCAGGACCTTCTGCCCTGGCAGCCTGGCCCCCAGGAGACCTGGGCGAGGGGGGCAACAGTGTGCAGGCTGCTTCCCTTGGACAGGCCAGCCCATGGCAGGGGTGTAGGATGTCCTTGTGGAATGACTTGGAGGTAGGGATGGGGAGTGGGAGGGGGAAGAAGGGGATGGGGGATGGGGACTGTCAGACTGGTTTTACCCACACAGTCATAGAGCAGGGCCTCCCCTTATCCAAGGTTTCATGCTCCTTGGTTTCAGTTACCAAAACTCAACTGAGGACCAAAACTATTGAATGGAAAATTCCAGAAACAAACAATTTTCACATTTTAAATTGGGTGCTCTTCTAAGTGGCATGGTACAATCACTTGATATTTGGCTCTGCCCTACCAGGGACACTAGTCATCCTTATGTCCGGTGTATCCACACTGTATAAGCTACCTGCCCGTTAGTTACTTAGTAGCCATCTTAGTTATCAGATCAACCATCATGATATTGCAGTGCTGTGCCCAGTGGCCCTTTTTTCCCCTCCATAATGGGCCCAAAGCCCAAAAGTAGATGCTGATCATTTGAACATACAAAAGACCAACCATAAAGTGAGTCCTTTAAGCAAAAAGGTAAAAGTTCTTCATGTATATGTAGGATTCAGTACCATTCATGGCTTCAGGCATTCACTGGGGATCTTGGAACGCTCCCCATATGTGAGGGGGTCTTTTATTACAACAACGGTGAAATGCTAACCCTTTTGTGGACGTTTGTCGCAAGTTTTTCAAAATAAACTCTCTTAATCCTCACAATGGTACAAAGGAGGGGCTCTGTGCTTTATCCCCGATATCTGGGATGAGGAACGGAGGCTAAAGGCTGCAGACCTATTAAGAGGGAGAGTGGGATTTCCACTCAGCAGTCTGCCACCAGGGTCCACCCTCCTAACCACTAATAATGACAAACGTCACTTGTCATTTGCGTAGCACCTGCAGTTTTCAAAGTCCTTCCCATGACATGAGGTCACTGGAGACCTGGGCAGGCCTGAGCCCATCCTGGGCAGACAGGAAGAGCATATTGTACAGTGGAGCAAACTAGGGTTCAGGAGAGGTGGGTGTCTTGTCCATGGTCACACAGCTAGCATGGCAGGGGCTGGATCAGAGCACACCCTGGTCTGCTTCCTCCCAGGTACCCCAGAGCCTGCTCCTGATGTAAGAACCTTGTGTTACCAGGTGCTGGGCTTCCCCTGTCCCTCTTTCTAAATAGCTAGCTTTTCTGTTAGCTAGTGGGCTTTGGGAGAGGGTTTGTCTGTCTATCCATCCTAATAACAAGTAACTCCAGAGCACCTACTATGTGCCAGCCAACATGCTAGGGCTGCACTGTTTTTTCCTTGCCAAAGTTGCAGGGCTTCTTTTCTAAGAACACACACGGGCCCTAAGATTTGAAAATGACCTCCCCAAGGTTCCCAGGGTTGGATCAGTACTCGCTGCCCCATGGAAGAACAGTGGGGTGCTGACTGCTCTTGGAGACGCCTCGTGGCCTGCTGTTCATCCAGGATGGAGATGGCCGTGTTTCAACCTGGGCCAGATGCATTTCACCCCAGGGCACTGAGTGGTCATGGACGGTCATCTTTGGGGAATCCTGGAAAACGGAGCCGTGTCAAGAGAGGAGCCTGACCAGGGGATCCCCAGCGTGAGGAGGGAGGTTGAACAGCCCCCCTCGTGCCTCCCCTAGGGCCAGTTATTCCCGAGAGGGGACATGGGGTGGGTGCAGAAGGCAGGTGGGAATGTGCTACGGGGCCAGTGAACCTGTCCTTGATTGTACCCTGAAGCAGAGCCTAGTAGGTTTCACTAGAAGATTGTTGTGAGCAAGAGGAGATTTGGGCATAAAG